CTTTTAACAACCATGTGAGACAGGTGTTATTAAAAACCCCATTTTGCAGATGAGAAATCTGAGGCCCAAAATGGGTACTTAATTTATTCAAGGTCACCCAGCTAATAAACTAGAGTCAGAATTTAAAACCAAGTAGGATAGTCCCATAGTTCTCCTCAACTAGGACATTATTATGAGTTAATAGTGTGATGTAGTTGCAAAGAAGTATTGACGTAAAAACATCCAAACATGTAGAGAATTTTCATGAGCTCATTTGAGCCAAACTGACAACATATGCCGGGGGAGAAGATCTCAGATGATCCAGAGAGTAACAATTTTGAGGCTTCTTTTATGCATTTGAACTTAAGGAGGGAATGTAAGGAAGATTACATGCTGGTGGGAGAAAGCAAGGCAGGGATAGGATTATAGGACAGGTAAGATTATATGCTCTCTTGAGGATTCATATCCCCTTCTAGGAGCATTATTTCTGGCATTTCAAAGGTGTGTTGACCTAGATGCACAACAACAATGGACAGAACTGGCAAAAAATTTTTCACTAAAGAAGTTACAGGTCTGGGGCATGACTACCCACCATGACCTGCCCAGTTAGGAGTCAAAGGTCAGATCACTCTGTGAGGTTACCTTCCACAGACCCCCTTTTAGTTCATACTAGCAAGTCTACTCAATCTTTATTTTAAAAGTTTTTTAAAATATTTACCCAAGATATGTTTATAGATTTTATTTTATTTTAGTTTTTTAGGATTTCATTTATTTTTAGAGAAAGAAACACCAATGTGTAAGATACATTGATTGGTTGCCTCTTGCACGCCCCCAGCTGGGGACCTGGCCCACAACCCAGGCATATGCCCTGACTGGGAATCGAACTGGTGACCTTTCAGTTCACAGGCCAGCACTCAATCCACTGAACTACACTCATCAAGGCTGTTTATTGATTTGAGAGAGAGAGGAAGTGGGGGAAAGAGAGAGAGAGGAATATCGATCAGTTGCCTCCCACAGGTGCCCTAACCAGGGATCAAAACCAGAACCTAGGTACATGCCCTGAAACCGCAACCTAACTATGTGCCCTGACCAGGGATCAAACCTGCAACCATTTGGGGTATGGGATGATGCTCCAACCAGCTGAGCCACCAGGCTAGGGAGAGTCTGCTCTTAATCTGAAAGTGCATGCTTTAAAATTTTCTCTATAGGTTAGTACCTAATTTTGGGAACCACACTTAATCAAAACAAAATTATTGGAAGTTAAAGACTGAGAAGGTTATGCCTAGAGAAGAAAACAATCAGTAGAATATAAGTATCTTCAAATATCTGAAAGCACACATACAGAGGAGAGTACTAGAACAAATGAAAATATAACTTGTAGTTTGGTAAAAGGAATAATTTTAGTCTATATGCCGCCAAAGCAAGCTAAAAGACATAATTTTATAAAGATCAGAATTGTCCAAAAATCTTCACCTTAGGAAGCATGAGACTATTAATCTTCTCTCCAGAAAAAAATATGCAGACACATATAATTTTGCATTAAATTTGCACGGGTGCAAAGTCTACTTTTAAATCTACTCATGCTCCACCTCTAGAGTCAAGTACCCCAGAGTAAAATGGAAAGGTAAAGGATAAAAAGACAAGGATATTCAATAATCCTTAGCAATTCACTCGCAAGTTCGCACACATCCACTTGAACGTGTACTATGTGCTGCTTTCTCAGTGGTGCCCTGTGAGAAACTGCGTCTGGGGAGCAGCAGGGAGCAGCGGGGAGCAGCGGTCTGCCCCAGGCTTGCCCCTGATCCTGTCACCCCTAGGACCCCAAGTCCTGGCCTGTTCTTTTTCTCTACCTAAATAAAACTTGCTCCCAACTCTCAAAATAATATTGTAATAATAATCTTTAAAATTTCATGCACCTTAAAATTCTGTGATCTAAAAATATTCTCAACTCTATGCTTTCTAGTTTCTTCTGAGATTCATGATGATACATATTGCAGGAACAGTTTAAATATGACAAAGTCAAAAAAAGTCAAGTTTGCCAAGCGACAATATAAACTACGAGTAAATTCAAAATACTAGGGCTTATTATTCAACCTTTAAAAGAAATGTTTACATTTAAAGATAAAAAATGCTAATATACTATTCAATATCTAATATTTAATGTCCAAATTAGAAATTTCCCTCCTCCGTTTTTAAAACTTCATCTTAAATTCTCCCTTTCCACCTGTCGTTCCTGGTTAACTGTTAAGAAAGACAGACCAAGAAACAATGGGCTAGAAGTCAGAATACTTAGGTTCTAATTTACTACCTTTGAATTTAATTTTGGCTTAGTCCATTGCCTCATCACATTCTAAAAATTTTCATATATCTAAAAGGACTTTAAAATGGTGAGGTACTATGTAAATATAAATAACCCATGTAATTATCAACAGCAAGAAAACAAAGTCAGTCTTTTCTATAAAGTTAAAAAAAAAGCAAATAAATATTCACATTTCAATTCCTAATTATAAAAAGCAATCTTTGACTCCTTAGGGCATATTTTAATGTATAATTTTTATCTACAAATACTTTCCACATTAAGAATAAACATATCTGGTGCCCTGACTGGTGCCTGTGGCTCAGTGGATGAGTGCTAGCCTGTGAACCAAAGGGTCACTGGTTGGTTGGACTTCCAGTCAGGGCACATGCCCAGGTTGCAGGCCAGGTCCCTAGTAGGGGGTGTATGAGAGGCAACCACCCACTGATGTTTCTTTCCTTCTCCCTCCCTTCCCCTCTCTCTAAAAATAAATTTTAAAAATCTTTATAAAAAAAGATTGCTTTGCATGGTTTCAGCATTTATAAAAAAATAATAAACATATCTGTACAGTCAAGCTCAAGTTATATTGAGAGGACATAGCTCAGACAGCTAAGAATTTTGGCTACAAAGGAAAAACTTGAAGGTGCCAGTAAACTACAGTTACACGAAAGGAAAGTTACATTACCACAAAATGGTCATAAAGTATTATCATTGCTTGAAAAATCCATTTCCTCTCTTAAACCACTAGAAATAAAGAGAACTAAAAAGTTAAGAGTTGAATAATTATTGTGCCTTTATTAACAAACATAAATGCCACACTGCTGAAACTGCAACTGTCCTGCCAGAACAGCACTGCAGATGCCGTGCGTGCCCTTACACCAGACTCAAGATCCAGGCACAAGATGTTCCAACAAATCACATGCATCGGGAGCCAGAGCACAAGCCTGAGAGAATCCAGGTTCTACACATTTGATTTTTCCCTTTGGTGCTACTTCAAAGTGGACACTGCTATTAAAAGTTTATTCTAGTCATAGGATAGTGATAAACATTTAGCTAAATTATAGGCTAACCAATGAAATGGAAAAGCAACATGCACTATCAGACCAACTAAATTATTTTATTTTATTTTTTTATTGATTATGCTATTACAGCTGTCCCAAACTTTCCTCCTTTGCTTCCCTCCGCCCAGCAACCCCCACTCCCTAGGCAATACCTTCACCATTGTTCATGTACATGGGTCATGAGTAAAAGTTCTCTGACTACTCCGTTTCCTATACTGTACTTTACATCCCCATGGCTATTCTATAACTACCTATTTGTACTTCTTAACCCTCTCAATTCTTCACCCATTCCCCCACAACCCTTCCCATCTGGCAACCTTCAAAAAGTTCTCCATATCTATGATTCTATCTCTGTTCTTCTTGTTTGCTTGATACATATATATTCATATTGTTGATAGATATGTATTTATTGCCATTTTACTGTTCATATTTTTATCTTTTTTTTTTTAAGTAAGTCCCTTTAACATTTTGTATAATAATGGTTTGGTGATGGTGAATTCCTTTCAGCTGAATTATTTTATATTTAATTTTGAACAGACAGTTCATGATTACACCATGTAGAGAACAGATGAATAACTTCAGCTATATTTATCAAGTGAAGATGATTTCAAGACATTCAGAGAAAAGTGGTCCATGAAATACTAGACTGTAGAAGTCAAATGAAAAAAAAAACCCAACACTATAGTTTAGGGGAGAAGGGGAAAGGAAGAGAATGAGCTATTGACTAAAAAGAGAGCAAATATGTAGGATTGGGACTCTGAGCCCTCTGAGATAGAATGAGGAAGAGAAAAGTATTCAAATGCTTAAAGAGAGCTTCAGCAGCAAATATGGAAAGGGATGAGCCTGTTAACTGTTTCAAGAGAAAAGACAAACAATACAAGGAACTTTCCTTAACCAGCATTCACGGTAGTCAATGAAAAAAATGCCGAACTGATGCATGGCAGTTAAATATGCTGTGAGCTTTGCTCCACATGCTTCCCACAGATTTGTCCATTACTCCTCATAACAGCCCGAATGGGCAGATACTACTATTTTACAGATGCAGAAACTGAGACCACACACAATGCAAGGTAACACAGGCTGGCTGAGCGCTCATCCACTTAGCTAAACTGTCTCTCTGCGAGAGCTTACAAAAACCTTTGTATTTTCTGTGGAGAGGGGACAGGCTCTCTGGAATTTCTCACAGGAGTCTAGGCCCAAAAAAGTGAGCCTAGACTTAGAGCAAAGTTCCTTTATGGAGGTTATGAGATTCTTCCAAGAGCACAAAGCTTTGTAACTCTGAAAAACATCTAGCAGAGACAGATGGAGATGTGTGGATCTTGAAAGGAAGAAAAGACAGAAAACAAGACTTAGAAGCCATCCTTCCCCCATGAAGAGACAGGGAGAGTTGAAAGCAGCTAGCCTTTCCTCTTCTGCACGAGGTTGACTCAGGGACGTTGCCTCCCCGCAAAGTGCAGTGTGTGTGTGTTGGGGGGGGGGGGGGAATGCTTTCCTCTACACAATCAAGGGTTACTTGGCCAGGTCTGGAAGGATGCGTGGCTATAAACAGATATGACTCGGGGTGACAAGGGCCCCCTCCCCCCCAGGCGCAGGGAGGGAAATTTGCCTAGGAGGGTCTAAAGGCCCTCAGCACCAGTGCCCGCGCCCTCTCCCCCAGACCTTACCCCCACAAGGCTGCAGAAGACCAGGTGGGCAGGCAGCGCTGTTCTTCCGAGCCTGGGGCACCCGTGCTTGGCGGTGGCCCGGTCCGGGCGGACTCACTCGCGGGGCAGGGGTCGGAGATTCGCGGCCTGTCCAGTCAAGGCCCTGGAGTTCGAGGCCCCAGGACACCGACTGTGTGTGCGCCCTCGACGCTGCCCAAAGAGGAAGGGTCGGGGCCCGGCCGGCGCTGAGCAGTGGCAGCCGCCCCAGGCGAAATCGCAAGCGGCTCCGTCCGCCCGCACCCGGCCCAGCCACTGTCCCGCTTCCCGGGCGCGAGCTTTGGCGGTGGAGCAGCACAATGAGAACCGATTGGCCCGAGAATGAATAACGTAAGGCGCTTCGCCCCCGCGGATTGGCCGAGTAGGCAGTGCGTGCAAGGAGTAAACAAACCCCGCCTCCAGGCTTTCCAAAGAGAGGAGGGGGCCCCAGAGGTGAAGGGGCGGGGCCGTGAGGTGAAGGGATATTGTGCTGCACCCTGGGTTTGTTCAGCGGAGATTCCCAAGGAGTGCCCGGCAATGCCCCTGCCACCTGGCCTCCCAGCCGCCTGCAAGGCGGGCTGCAGGCCCGAGGCCTAAAATTTATAGACCAGTCCTTTGCATTCTCCCTTCCCCCAGGCTTGACTTTTCCATCCTCCCCCATCGCTAAGCCCCGAGACAGGAAAACCCCATCTCTTTTGAAAGAGGGTAACTAGGCGGTTACCTCTTGGTCCCCAGGCCTTTGATGCGCCTCCCCCTGGGAGCAGCTAGAAACGGAACGGAAACAAGTGGCTGTGAGACCACGTGTGGGGCATCCTGTGATTATTCAAAAAATGGATTAGAACTCACTGGGGATGTGGGTTCTTAGACAGGCAAGTAAGATCCAAACCAGGCCAAGTTACCATGTCACGTGGAAGCTGAACCAAAAATCGCGACACGTAACCCCAATACCTGTCTGTTAGTTCAATATTAAAATGCGTGTCTACTAATTCTGTGCCTCTGAAAAATCTTGTGTAAGCTTACATTCTAGTGGAGTGGAAAAGACAATATGCAAAAGAAATATGTAAAATAGAAACTATGATACGTCCTGATAGGAAAAAAATGTAAGCAGAAAGGGTGTTTGAGGGATGGCTTCTGTTAAATAGGGTGCCCAGAGAAGGCGCAGAAAAGGTACCATTTAAGTAAATACCTAAAGGGGATGAGGGAGTCTTAGAAAGCACCTTTGGACCTTTCTCTGGGGTGGGGTGGAGAGACAATTCCTGCATCATTGTATGTAAATAGTTCCTAGGAGTTCAAGAATGCCAGATGCAGCACTTTCCCACTGATTCTAAAATGATTGATTACCTTACATTGTCCAGTCACAAATCAATAGGATTTATTTAGTTTCCACAGAAATTTTGTTAAGGTTTTATGGTAACAACTACTGTTCATGCACTCGAGGGACAAAGATACATAAGTGGGCAAGACAGACAAAACCTCCACCCTCAAGGAACTCAATCTAGCAAGGGAGATGGATTGTAAACCACCTGAGTACAAGTGTAAGCAACCATAATAGAAGTAGGCACGGCACTTGAGCCAATAAGGGTAGTGGGGTAAGGGGTGTTATTAAGGAGCTATAACTTTCTCAGAATCTCTTTGTCTATAAAGAAAATTCAGTACTAAATATTGGAGTAAGGCTACGGCTATCAGGGATTAACTGACCTCTCACAAGTTTCTAAGGTGAAAGTCTGAAGATAATATTCAGTTGAACCATATGAAATTGCTAATACTTGGCAATTTTCATTCCACTCAGCTTATTCTCTTAGAGTTAACATGAGGATTTTGCTATGTAATGCATGTAATAAGTGTTCAATAAATGATGGCAATTATTATAACTTGATACTTCTTTTGAAAAAATGATTTAAAAGCCAATGTTTTATAATACCGTCCAACACTATGCACCAAGTAAAATGGGCAGTGAAAGTTCCAAATTTTTATTTTAATCTAGCTGTGTTTGATTTAGATGTTTTCCAGTTTGATCTAGCTGTGAATTTCCATGACCTAATCAGAGCATGCTGCAAAAGACACTAAATGTTAGTTTCACAGCAGGCCAAGAATTTTAGAATAAGAAACAGCTTGGTTTTGAAGTAAAAAACTGAAACTACTCCAGAACAGAATAAATTGTCAAGTTGCTTCAGGGAGGAAAATTTATGTAAATCAATTTTTCATTCCCACTCACAGTTCCAATTTAGCAATTTGCACAATAGTCAGCTTTCTCTCTTCCTTCTTATTTCCCCATTAAGGGATCTTATTTCCTTTGAATAGAAAAAGAAAGCTCCCACCATCTCCAGTGCCAGAGAGTAGATGTTTGAAACACGACAGAACACTTATTGATTCAGCAAACACTTATTGTATGCCAAGAACAGTGCAAGGCATTGGAAATACAAACATAAACGTCCAAAGAACTCTGTTCTTGGGTGGTGTTCTTTGTGCTTGGAACAATCTGCCAGTTCACCCACACCTCACTGACATGTGCTTTTACATGAGCTTAAACAACACTTTCTCCAGAAACGCATCCTCTGACTCTCCATCACCAGCTCTTTTCCCATTAAATCGTGTTTGCCTTTCTAACATTCATCGAGCTTGTAGTTATTCATTTGGTATCTGTATCCTGTGAGACTGCAAGCTCCTTGAGATCCAGAGCCAGGTCATCCTGTTCACTGTCCTCAGTGCTTATGAGAAGTTCTGTAAGTTTTTACTGAATGGATGAGAATGCCACAGCCCAGCACAGCTGGAGAGAGGAGAAAGTCTCTGCTTGTAACTGTGCAGGCCTACAAAGAGAGGGCCATGAAGATCTGTTGTAGTTAAACCCGAGGGATTGCCACGTGCTGCTGCTCTGCTGGGCCCAAATGCTGCTCTCTGTAGGTGAAGCTGTTGGATTCCTGCACCTGTCAAACTTTAATGTGCACAGCAGTTACTTAGAGATCTTATTCAAGTTCAGACTCATTTCCAACAAGCTTCCAACTGGTGCTGGTGCTGCTTGTCCACAGTCTGAGTAACAAGGTCCTTACTAGCACCTTTACTTAATGGCACACTTTGAATTTTTTTTTTTTACTTTTTAAATTAAATTCATTGGGGTGACATTGATTAATAAAATTATGTAGGTTTCAAGTGTAAAATTCTACAATACATCATTGGTGTGTTGCATTGTGTGTTTACCACCCAAAGTCAAACCTCTTTCCGTCACCATTTGTTTGACCCCCTTTACCCTTTACTGCCCCCACCCCCTTTCCCTCTGCTGAGCACCACGCTGTCATCTGTGTCTATGAGTTCTTCTATGTGTGTTTGTTTTGTTTGTTCGTTTGTTGCTTTTAGTTTTATATGTCATGTATGAATGAAATCATATGGTTAGTGGCATTTTTTATCATACAAACAAAACAATCTGTAGTTATCCAAACAATTATATATGTGACTTTAAAAAAAAAGCCTGCAGTTTTCACACCTAATTCATCCAGAAAAAAAAAGCCTCCAGTTTTCACACCTAATTCATCCAGTGACTGAAGAAAGAAATAATACTTAAAAAGAAAACTAAGCCCTGGCTGGCATAGCTCAGTGGATTGAGTGCGGGCTGCGAACCAAAGTGTCACAGGTTCGATTCCCAGCCAGGGTACATCCCTGGGTTGCAGGCCATAACCCCCAGTAACCGCACATTGATGTTTCTCTCTCTCTCTATCTCCCTCCCTTCCCTCTCTAAAAATAAACAAATAAAATCTTAAAAAAAAAAAGAAAACTGTGTATAATCAAGGCCTGGTCTTCCAGAGACAGTCCTGCTGTGTGCAGTTGAGTCACATCAGTAGGGCAAAGAAGAATCAACGCTTGGGACCTTCCTCAGCAAGGGACCCTCCTTCTCCTCAGTTCATCGTGGGAATGACTTTGTCAGGGTTGTGAAAGGGGTTCACAGTCACCCTTAATAAAAGCAACCTCTTTTTAATGTCAAATCTAAAACCCTTTCTATGATAAAATATTTTATTTATCCTAAGAACATAAAGGAAATGTATATGGAATGAGTAATGAATAAACATTCAAGTACCAGCTTAAGAAATAGAATCCTAATGCCGCTGGGGCTCTGGGTGTTCTTCCCAACATGCCTCTCTGCCTTTCCCTCCCCAGACAACCATGTCTTAAATTATAATTTCCTTGGATTTCTTTATAACTTTAACACACACGTATGTAACTTCAAGCAATATATTGCTTAGTTTTGCATGTTTTTTTAAGATTTTTATTTATTCATTTATTTTTAGAGAGGGAAGGGAGGGAGAAAGAGAGAGAGAGAGAAACACCAATGTGTGGTTGCTGGGGGCTGTGGCCTGCAACCCAAACATGTGCCCTGACTGGGAATCAAACCTGCGATGCTTTGGTTCGCAGCCTGTGCTCAATCCACTGAGCTACGCCCGCCAGGCCTAGTTTTGCATGTTTTTATACTACATACATTTGGGTTCAAACTTTATTATTCACCTGCAAATTAGTTTTTTATTTTTTTTTCATTGCTTGTTTTTAAAGAGAGAGGAAAGGAGAGAGGGGTTAGAAAGAGGGAGAAAGAAGGGGAGAGAAACATCAATGTAGGGGAGAAACATTGATTGGTTGCCTTTCATAGGCACCCCAACTGGGGAACAAACCTGCAACCTAGGCATGTGCCCTGAATCAAACCCGAGGAATCAAACCCGCGACCTTTAGGTTTGCAGGATGATGTCCAACCAACTGAGCAACACTGGCCAGGGCTGCAAATTATTTTTTCACTCAACGTATTATTTGAAAGTATCATCTATCTTGATGGATATGGTTCATTTATTGTCACTGATGTAAAAATAGCAAAATCCACATAGTCCATTCTCTTATTGGTAAAGTTTGAGTTTTGTTTGTTAGGAATATTCTTGTATACCTCTCCTTTGTACATGTGAAAGTTTCTATAGGATCTTAGTCATGTACGATGATGGGAATCAAAATATTTAACAGCTGGTAATTACACAATCTTTGCTTGTTCTCCTTCCCCGCTGCGACTGAGGCAACTTCTTACATGCAGGTAGTTCACTTGGGAGAGTGATTTCAATGAACAAGAGTAGGTGCTAGACAGAGTGAAGCATGCAGGCGGGAAAGCTAAACCAAAAACATGTTGCTGAAATGATCGCTGCTGAAGACTGCTGAGGCTTCCTGGTGCAGGAGACACTCTGAGGAGCTGCAAAGAGCACACCTCAGTATCAGCCACTCAAGCAATAGAAGAGGCTGCGTTTACACACTGGTTCCCCTTCCCATTGTCTTAAA